GAGGAGGAGGAGGAAAAGGAGGAGGAGGAGGAGGAAGAGGAGGAGGAGAAGGAGGACCTCCCCATCCGTCCTCCGCTCCCGTCCTACCTATTGTAGTGGTGGTGGAAAATTGGCCCACCACAAGCAGAACCCTGCGCGAGGCGTCCCCGCGCAGAGGGGCTGGAGCAGCTCGGGTCGCGAGAGGGGTCTGACGGCTGCCAACGCCCGCGTCCCGCGGCGGGGGTCCTTGCCGGAGCCGCTGCTCGTCCGACCGTCGCCTGGGCGGGATCGGGGCGCCGCGACGGAGGCGGGAAGGAGGGCGGGAGGAGGAGGAGGAGGAGGAGGAAGAGGAGGATGATGATGATGATGATGAGGAGGAGGAGGAGGCGAAGGAGAGCGAAGGAGGAGGGGACGGCAGGCAGGCAGAGGAGGAGGCAGAAGGAGGAGGAGAGGAAGGAGGAGGAGGGCGGCGGAGAAGGATGATGATGATGATGATGATGATGGATGATGAGGAGGAGGGAGGAGGAGGAGGCGGAGGAGGGGAGGAGGAGGAGCAGAGGAGAAGGAGGGGGAGGAGCAGAAGGATGAGGAGGAGGAAGGAGGGCGGAAGGAGGAGGAGGAGGAGGAGAAGGAGAGTAAGGAGGAGGAGGAGCAGGGAGAAGGAAGGGAAAGGAGAATGTGAGGTGAGGAGAAGGAGTGCGGAATGAGGATGCTGATGATGATGAGATGATGAGGAGGAGGAGGAGGTCAGAAAGAAGGAGGAGAGGAGGCAGAAGGAGGACGGAGGGGAGGAGAGAGGAGGACGGAGGACGAGGAGGGAGGAAAAGAGGAGGAAAGGAGGCAGGAGCGAGTGAGCGAGGGGGAGGGGAGGAGGAAGGAGGAGGATGGAAGAGGAGAAGGAGGGCGGAAGGAAGAGGAGGAGGACGGAGGAGGAGGAGGAGGAGGAGGAGGAGGAGGAGGAGGAGGAGGAGGAGGGATCTGAGGGATCTGATGAGTCCATCCATCTGTGGATGCCGCCACCTAGGCACGCATCTCGGGCCAACGCGGAGATGCACGGTGCCAGGCCGATGCCCAGCGCAAAAGAGGGGGATCCAGCATGGCGACGAGACCACAGGGCCCCGAAACACCGCCCGACGGCGGCCGAAACGAGGGGAACGCCGCAACGCGGCAGCCTCGCTCAGTCCACGGAGCCCTCGCGGAGGGCCGGCATGTGGAGGAGCAACTTGCCGACGACGTCGCTCCCGAACCGCTTCTCGGCGATCTGCAGCAGCTCCTTCGTGGAGACGTGGTCGAAGCCGCCCCCCTCGGAGCCGCCGTGCTTGATCTCGCACTTTTGCTTGCCTTTGCCCTTGGCCTTGCTCTTGCCATTGCCCTTGCCATTGCGCCCGGAGCGATGGCAGTCGAGCTTCTGCATGATGCCGGCACCAACGGCGCTGAAGTCGTCGTCGAGCTCATCGCAGTCGTCGCCGAGGGAGGCCGTGCTGGAGATCTCGTCGAAGACCTCGCCTAAGCCGACGGCGTCAACCACGCTCTTCAGCTCCACGTTGCTCATGTCCTTCTGCATGTCTTCCTCGTACTCCTTCACGTAAGTATCTGGGTCGTCGAGCTCCTAGGGAACCGCGTTCGAGCCGATGTCGAAGCACTGCAACTCCCCGTTGCTCTTGTCCTTCTCGGGCTTCGGCGCGACGTCCTCCAGCGTCACACCCACAACCTCATCCTCGTAGCCGCCGTCGCTTGACGCCGCGATGTCACCTCGAGCCTGACTTGCCCTACGCCAAACCATGAAGCTGAAGTTCATCACGTCGCGCTCGCAGCCGCCATCGTCGTCGTAGTTGGTGGTGTTGCAGCCGCCGTCGCTGTAGATATCGTACTGCTCGACGCTCAGCGGCGGATCTCCGCATCCACCTCCGCCAGGAGCGCCTCCACGATCGCCTCCTTGTTGGCCGCCAGCCTCGATGACCATCGATTCCTCTTTCGCGCCGGTGCGAGAGCCTCCTCCAGCATCTCCTCCTCGATCAGGTACGGGTCCCAGTCCACCTGGATGTTTTCCTTCACCTGGTCGTCATCCTGCTGGTGCTGGTTCGGCTGCTCCGAGCAGGTCACCTCCTGCCTCAGCTCCGCTTGCTGCTGCTGAATGCCAGTGGGCGGGAGACCCGCGCACCTCATGCAGTAGCCCCTGAAGCCGAAGCTGACGAAGCCGCAGTGGCCATACTTCCACTTGGCGACGTGGTTCTTTGTCTTGCTGGCCGCTGACGGCGATGCCATCATCCCCACCTGCGGCGGCCTCTTCCTGGGCTGGGCCTCCTGGCAGGAGCTTTCCCGCGCTGGTGGCCAGGCGGCCGCCGATGCCTCCGCCCACAGTTTCTCCTTGGTCTCCCTGGCGTTCACGAAAGCCTCGCGGTTGATCATGCGCTGCTCCTGCTGGAACTCCCTCTTGTACTGCTTCCTCTGGTTTGCACTGGGCTTCGAGTGCATCCACGGCACTCGGGCCCGCTGCGCGGGTGGCGCCCCCGAAAGCGTCGACATTGAGCGCGTAGACGCTGGTCTCCGAGCCGCGAGCGATCTCGATGTCAGCCAGCAGCTTGCCCACCACCTGGCCGTCCGAGCTGTCCGCAATCAAGAATTTCATCACGACACCATCGCCCGCGCCGATGCGCGGCCTGGCTCGCGGGAGCTGCGCCCCCCCCACTCGCGCTCCCCGTCAGGGCCCCCCTCGGGCCCAGGAGGGGCTTGAGCCAAAATGGCCACGGAGGAGGAGGAGGAGGAGGAGGAGGAGGAAGGAGGAGGAGGAGGAGGAGGAGGAGGAGGAGGAGGAGGAGAATGAGGAGGAGGAGGGCGGAAAAAGGAGGAGGAGGAGGCGGAGGATGAGGATGCTGATGGTGATGATGATGATGATGAGGAGGAGGAGGAGGAGGAGGAGGAGGAGGGGAAGCGGGAAGCGGTGCAGCGGCAGCAGTCGATTCGTAAGCTGCAGCTCGGGATGGGGGATCGCGGGGGGGTGGGCAGAGATGCCAACCCTCCAGCTAGAATACGGCGACCGTCAGGGCGCCGGGCCGAGCTCCGAAGGGTGGCGCCTGCAAACCAGGCGCCGCGGAGCGCAGCTGCTACATTGGGGCGCGGGCCGACAGAGGGCAATGTAACATTGCCAGGAAATGGAAGTGGGGCCACACAAATGCGCGGCCCCGAGAATATTAGTCAGATGAGCCCGGGTCTTCCTCCCCAGCACCACCACCCACAACGATGCTCGACGCTGCCGCAGCAGCAGGAACAGAAGAGCACTGGGCGGTGGCGCTTGCACGGTCGGGAGATTCGGGTCTGCCCTCGAGCTGGACACCAGTGCCTGGATGTCGGCCGCTCTCAGCGCGAGCAAGCTTTCTGAGGTGACCAATGCGTGTCGTCTGCACCTGCGAGACACCGCGGCACGTCCGTCTTAATCCCCGACAACAGCCATCGGGGAGCACCAACAAGCACGCACAGTCAAGGCAGATTATTATTCTCCCGTTGCGCACAGGTCGGTGCTGGAGGTCGCTAAAAACGTGGAGGTCTTCTGCGTCCGATCCCGAGGGGCCCCTGGACCAGGCATAGGAAGAGGTGGGCCACAGATCGACAGGAGGCTCGAAGGAGGAGGCTCCTGGCAGGGGCCCCAGGATCGCGCTTGCAAGCTCCAGGGCAGGCCCCGCTGCGGCCGACGAGTCTGGTGCGACAGCCAGGCATTGCTCTGCTATTTTGTTAGAAACATGTTGGCTTGCCACTGCAGAATGGCCGTTAGCCTGCATTCACGACTTCCCCCCGTTCGCAGACCCTTGGGGGTCTGGTCGGTGGTCGCTGCCATGTTGCAGCGCCTGCATCTCCATTCGCCGCGGGCTTCAACATAACAAAGTTCGTGCTGCGAGAGCGAGAGCTTCGGCGCTGTGCTGGGGGCCTGCCTGGGGGGCGGTTGCGGGACTTCAACCTGTTCTCCCGCAGTGCTAACTTTCTGGATGGCACGCGCTAAAAAATCACAGGTTAGCTGATGCTTTTTAATATGGGCCTTCTCGGCCTTGACATACACATCTGGGACCTGGTGCATGCTCGACCCTAGTCTGGCGAAAAAATCGGCCCATACATTTCCAAGGTAGTCTTGGATGTCTGAGCTCGTGCACAAAAGTCTGTCCTCTGGCCCTCGGTGCGCTGGGACCCAACGGAAACTTGGCCTCTGTAGGCCTTCGCCTTGGAGCTCGAATATCTTGCGCCATATATCTGCATGCGCATTTCGGGCACCCGCCAGATCTGGATCCCATGAGCACCCTTCGTGAACAAGCTGGAGGTGGTCAGCGACCACTTCGGCCCCTTGGGGTGCAACTTCGATCGCACGCAGCGCCGCGCACCTCTCAGCGCGGGGCACCGTCAGGCGCCCATGCAAAGGCTCGTAGAGAGCCCTGTGGGGCACGCCCCACTGGTCAACCTCGACGGCAGCCCATCCACACCGTCTGTGTTCTGGGCTTGAGTTCGCAAGCCCCGAACCGTCGGTATAGATACGCCTGCCCCAGGGCCCCGTCGTCACACCCCAATGAACCGTGGGGGCCTCGGGGATCTCTGGTACACTGAGGGGATAAACAGGGGGCCCATACACAAGCTCCAGAGTGTCCCAGTCGGCCTGTAGTCCAGAGTACCCCGAGCCCCTTAAAGTTTCTCTGTGCTTTATAATTTCACCAGGAAGGGGCTCTACATCAAGATCCTCTGGGGGCTGGTTTAAAAGTGGGCACTGCTACAGCTGGCGCCCTAGTGTGGCGTTGGGGTTCGTGCAAAAATCACAGGCGGGCGTCGCTCGATGCCCTGCTGCACATTTCCCCGATGGCGGCCAGCACCCTGAATCCAGTAGTAGTCGCGCACGTAAAATTTCAAGTCTGAGGCCTCGCCGCCATACTTCTTCATAACCAAATGCTTCAGGAATGTGTGCCAGTATGCGTTTCATGTGTCATCGTCTTATGGACTCCTGCAGCAGTCTCTTAACCTCCATGGGCGGCGTGTGCAGTAGAGAAATCATGGTTCCTTTATCATCGACGACTTGGTGCGCAGATATCATAGCCCAGCCAATTCTTGAAAGCGACAGCAGGGTCGCACCCATGGGTCGATGGCACTTGGCCCATGTGAGTTTATTCCCAAAATCACGCTTCATGACCAAGAAAGCTCCCTGAATATCAACAACTGAACATCTGTTGTCCCAGATCGTGCTGGCAAACCTGACAACTAGCAAAATCGTCGCGTCGTGTATCGGGTCGTAAAATTCGCCCGCCTGTGTGGAAAGCCAAGCTGTGATAGATGCGTGTTGGCGCGCTCCCGCGAGTGCAGCCGCAATGGATCTGAGTGAGTTGAGGCTGGCGTCGGTGATGCCACTCACTCCTGCTCCGTGTGCGGCTGCTGGTGGCAGTCCTGTTCTCCGCAAGGTTCGGACTCTGTGGTTCGCGTCTCTCACAAGGGCACGAAGCTTGGGTTTCCTGGCCATCAGTCCTGCCATTCTTTTCTTCTCAATCACCCGCTTGGCCTTAGGCCCAGATAGATCATGTCCGAGGTTACGCATATGAAGATACATCTTCATCCTGAGTCGCTTGACGAAAGACGCGGTTACTTTCTTGGCAGCCGCATTTGTCGCAACACATCCACTCTTAGCCGCTTGGATGACCAATCCCAGCTCAAAAGCACCCTGCGTGAAGTACTTGACTGCCGCGAACAAAACTTTAGATTGTTTGGGGTCCTCTCCCGTCCATTGAAATCTCGCGTCGTCCATGAGCACGCGCGGCACGACTGTGTCGTAGAGGTCCATCATTCGAAGTAGAAGCTGGTGCAGTAACAAGTGGACCATCGTTGTCGCGTGTGTAAATCCAGCTAGAATGCCCTGAACAGATACATATTTATGGGACATCGACCCCCACGCTCGTACCACTCGTGGACATTGCTAGTTGGCTAAGATCAGCCAGAGGAGTCGTAGTGGGTATCGCAGCACGTAGGCGAAGTCGAATAGCTTCTGCAATTTGATCATCTCGAAGCGCTTGTACATGTCGAGCAGCACTGTTACTGACGTGTGTCCTTTGTATCGTGCAACTTCTGCTTGCAGGTTGTGTGAAAACGCTGAATCTGATGATGCTGCCGCAGGCCTCGCCCCCCAGAAGTCAGGATTCTGATTATCACGCCCCCATCTCCTCGAAATAGGTCTGCGGAGTCGGGCCCATATACGCACAATCGTATTGATTAATGCCACCAGTCGGTGTCCCCCCGGTGCGTTTGGCAATCGAACAAGGCGTGCCTGTGCCCTTTTATCTGGCCAGCAACACATCCTCTCGCACGCCTGCAAGAGGAGTAGAAGTGTCTGGAGTCCGTAATCTGATACAACATCCATCGCCTTGGGATGAAGGTTGACGTGTCCAAGTGCTGAGTTGATTTTGAACTTGCGCAAGACAATGCGCAGGCCCTCCACGCTGACCTCTGGAAGCTGGCTCCATGCCGAGAAGTCGGGTGGCAACTTCAGGCGTCTTGAGGCGTGCGTGGCCCAGATCTCAGCCCAGGTATCCATGCAAGAATCTGCCGTCTCAAAGGGTTGCGGCTGCTGGGTGTGCTCCAGCACTTCCTGCAGGTCCCTGAGCTTCGAGAAACGGTGCGCCTGTCTCGCTCCGTTGTTGAAAGATGCCTTTGTCCACTCCGTCCATTCTGCCGTTTTGAATACTCCTATAGCTTGGACCACCCTCTCAACTTTGTCTATGACGAACTGTGCAGTGTCAAGAAAATCGTCGCAGCAGAACTGGTGGGAAAGGTCACGGACCCGAGCGCGTTCGTCCTCGTCTAGGTGCTGCATGATCCATGTTGTTTTAGACGCTATGTGGAAGAAGCCCTGGAGGTCCCATGCCAACTTAACAAATAGCTTGAGCTCCTTGTCGTTGGCAGCCATGCCATCGGTCATGCTGAGCCCAGCGTCGTATGCTCCAAAGGTAGATAGGGATCGTGCCCAGCTTAATCATCAGTAGTGTGGTTAGTCGGCAGCATGTGGCGGGGAAATTTGCCTGGTACGTCAACATCTGTTTGGAGCCGTTCCACAGCCAGGATCATCCTCAACTTCATAGCTCGCATGTGCCGAAACCAGCGCCCAATCAACTTGTATGCCTGGAGCCTCTGAGATGGTTTGTGTTCAGGCGGGGCCACTTTCTTCCAAAACCAAGTTGGAGGCCCCGCCCTTCCAAGGTAACGTGCTCGGTCATGGCCTATAATACCATGCCTGTCCAACATCTCTTCTTCCATCTGCGTCAAGACCGCATCCCAGGCGTCGGCAAGGTTATCGGCGTTGTCGGCCCTAGCAATGAGCTCCCTGGCCATGTCCCACTCTACGACGGGCGGGAACCTCGCACATCCTGGCTTTGGTATCGTGTCGACGGACGCAGGCTGATCAGGCAGTCGCACCCATATCTCATGTTCTGCATCCTGCATCGGAACTCTGACAGGCACGTGTGGAAACAAGTCCGAGTCTTCATGCACCAAGGCCCTGCCTGCCCGACACG